TTCCTGCTGTATTACCTCAGTCTTTATGAGTCAGCCACAAGATCACAATAAGATAAAGGAACATTTTTTACATTTGCACTTGAGCAAGGTTTATTAAAGAGAGAAGGTCACCTGTTTCTGTTCCTCGCCCAGACCGTCCCACATGGAGGCCACTATTTACATTTGCACATGAGCAAGATTTATTAAAGAGAGAAGGTCACCTGTTTCTGTTCCTCGCCCAGACCGTCCCACATGGAGGCCACTATTTACATTTGCACATGAGCAAGATTTATTAAAGAGAGAAGGTCACCTGTTTCTGTTCCTCGCCCAGACCGTCCCACATGGAGGCCACTATTTTGGAAACCTCCCCAAATGTGGCATTAGGATTTTGGCCTTTTATAGCTGCCTGTGTGTCTCTGAAGAACAGGGCGTAGGCTGACACTGGCTTCTGAGGCTCATTGGGGTCTTTCTTCTTCTTCTTCTTGGGGGTTTTGGGCTTCTTGGCCATGTCTGTGGCTGCTCTCTTCTCTGCCCCATTCACCTGAAAAATGAGGAGTAAACAATAGATATCCAATGAGATTAAGCCATAATAACAGCTTTATGAATGAATCAACTTCCTAAAGCTAGTTAGTGAACCATGTCTCCAAAGCCTGGAGCTGTTTTTTAAATTTTAATGACTATCGTGCATTATTCGTATATACCGGGTTCCCACGCATTTTCACCCATAATTTTCCATGACGTTTGCAGTTGTTTGTGGTCACTGGATAACTATTTATGTAAAGCCTGCAGTGGCAAAGAACAATTTCTAGACAATGAAATATTACTTTTAATATGCAGCATCTATAGGGCGTTGTGATTATGACATAATCGCCTGTTTACGGTTGCTGATCTGTTCACTTTAAAAGATATGCCTAACCAAATAAGGGAATTTGAAGTGCATGTAGAAATACTATAAAATGCATATTTTACTAGTAATTTTTGCATTAAAAATGACAAATAAAATATTTTATTATAGATATATTGAAACTATTATATACGCCATTCTAATAGTTTAAATACATCTAAATATTAAATATTTATTAGAAAGCTTTAAACTAAATCACAAAATGTTCAGTGTGAAAATGTATTTCTTAAGGTGTATGTATGTTAAGTTTACACTTTAACACTGTGACTGTTAAATGATCTAAACAGACAATTAATTTAATTACTTTTATGATTAAAATTAGTCACCAGCCTAAAGCTTCATAATCATAACAATCCTAACTATAAACATTTCCATGACATTTTAATTTAAGTGACTGAAATATCAGAATGTGTCACTTCATATAAACACAAGTAGCTCGTAATTGTGTAGTTTGGATGTTTTAATGCTGAGCCGTGTCTTCTATGTTAGGAAACAAGACACAAAAATATCTTAGCGGAGCACATAAACGACCAAACTTTCCAGAGGATCAGTACTGATGTGAGTTTTGGAGAAAATATGTGGTATTTTGGCTGTGAAGCACAGACTTGAGGCAGATCAGCGTCTTAGCAAATCTACGTTTAAGGAAACATGGCAGAACAACTTGCTGAAAGGTCAGCAGTGACTCATTCCTTTTAATACACTCTATTTTGCCACAGTGCATAAAATAGTCTATGTGACCGTGTGTGTGTATATGTGTGTGAGGATGTGTGTGTGTGAGGAAGATAAGCTTTTATATTCATGAGATCATAGAATGGGTAACACACTCTCTCTCTCACCTTGGCAGCATCATCTGCATCGTCCTCATGCACGGAGCTGGAGGGGGAGGGTGTGGCTGACTTGCTCTCTGGTGGAGATGGGGATCCATGGGTGCCATTGTTGTTATTCAGACCCAGCTGAGTATTGAGTTGTGATTGGTTGATAGTGGTCAGATGACCTTGAGGAACCATGCCAGGTTGGACCCTGGCTCTGAGCGTGTCCACCTGAGGATGGCCGCCGTAACGTGAGTCTGAGTTGACCATTTGCTGCATCTGGAATATTAAAATAAAACTTCATTTAAAACAAAAATACCTAGATTTCCAAATAAATCTTTGAAATAAACTGAACCTCAAGCCATTTTGTTGGTTGCAAGGTGAAAGTCTGTCGGTTGAATTAAAGTTTGTAGCATAATGTTGTAGCAAAATCAACTTGACTACTGTTTTCTTAAATATATATTCTTAATTTCTTATATATATATATATATATATATATACACTTCAAAAGCACTTACATTAATTTTTCTGTTAAAACTGAATAGTTTGAGCTGTAAAGTTGTTTAAATCATAATTATCATTTTAAGGATTTAGGATTTATGAAATTACATAGCCATGGTGATGAAGTTGTAAAATGATAAAATTGTGATTTCTTCACATTAAGATCATGCTGTTTATTCCTTGTGCCTATACTATTGAAACATTGAGTATTTTAACATATACGAATTGGCCCCATTCACTTCCATTGTAAGTGACTCACTGTAATCCTTTTTTAAATGTTTTTTAAGAATATAACAAATGTATTTATTTATTTGTTTATTTTTGGTAATCAACATTATGTCGCAAAAGTTGTTGATTAAGCTTAACTTGTACTGAACCTGAAATATTATTTTACAAAGTAAAAAGTTCTATTCTTATTAAAACTAACCTCGGCTAAACAGAACTGTTACAATAGAAATCCCTTAAAGGTCTACCTATGCATACAAGCATAATCCAAGTGTTAACTAGCACTAATGTCTCCATCCATACCTTATGACTGGTTTGGATTTTCACCATCCTGCTGCAGTGAATGCTAGTCTGTAGCAGAGTGTAGAAACATTGCTTTTGTACACTGTATCTGGGGGATAAATCACTTCCGACAAGAACAAGCCCTGTAGCTGTAGTCCCGTCACCTGATACTGTCTGAAGCAACAGGTGACCTGAAATGTACCCCACGCCCACCATTGTATGCAACACAATGCCCCCGACAGGTGGAGCTTTGGGGTTCGAAGCCACGGGCATTTCTCTGAAGGACAGGTGACTATATGTCTCCCTCCCCGCATGAACACTTCAGACACACTGGACCCTCATAACTCAAAACATTCTGAAATTGCTTTCTAACATCTCTTATTTTGAAGAGAGCCTGTGAGAGCACTGAATAATGCAAAGATTTAACATATTTCATACTGTCAGACATTGACAGTCACACAGGGACATGTAGTGTCTAATATTTAAAAATGCATTACATGTTGTACCATCCACACAATATGTTATGCATTTTTGAGTGATGCTTAAGTCACTGCCATGATACTAGGGTGTTGTGGATGGTTGCCAGGGCTTTTTTACATTTATTAATTTTTTAACTAAATTTTTAAATTTCAATTAAGTGATACTGTATATATTTTTACTTATACGGTTTAATTTGAAAAATGCTTAAATTTTTAGCCAACAATAAGACTTTCATATGTTTAACTTGATTAATTAGTTAAATACATGAAAGCGTTTTTTTATGTCATGTCATGGAGCATCAGAAAAACTATTCATTTCCGAGAATTCAGCATGTATCTGAAAGCAGTTGATTGGATGTAAAGGACTAAAGACGTGACAACATTACACAGCAATAGCGAGGAAATTCTCCAATCCGTGCAGTTTTAGCGGTTAACTGACTAATCATAAACTGACACTGGTGAAAATGTCAAGTTCTCATGAAATGGCTGGAAAAAAAAAAGATTGCAGTGGAAAACTGTTCAACTTTTCAGGGGGTTTAACCATTACAATGTTAATGGACAGGAGGAAGTTTCATTTTTCAGTGAAATGCGTTCACCATCACACACACCTCATTAATACGCTCGGTGTTTTCTGTATTATACCCCTTCCCACTCGATTTCTTTTGAAACATCTGTATTTTCTTGAGGGGGACTTTTTCTGTTATTTAACCAGACATTACCCACCTTGTGTGGGTAATAAGACAATGTGGTCAGTTTTGAGTAGAAAACACATTTCAACTTAAAACCACGCATGCTGATAAAGGTCACCTTTCTATTTCTTGGTAAAACAAAACTTAGAGGCAGGACAAGCTTTCTGGCAGTAACTAAGAGTGCAGTCAAAGACAAATTGTTTAATCATGCTGCAATAACAAGCAAATTTCCTAACGAGTAAAACTTTACGGCAAGAGGATCAACATGGCTGCTGAAAAAAACTCAAATCACGTTTGTCAGAGTGAGGTTGTGATGGTATTTATTATCTGAGCTCACCATTAATCTCCACTACACAGAGGACAAAGACTTGCCAGGGATGAATAGAGGTCACGTGACAAGGTCACAGACAAAAGCCCTAAAGGTTGCCTGTTCTGCACATTTTAAGTTTTAAATAACAAATGGCTGCCTGGGCTGCCTGTTTTTTCATCAGATCCACTGACCCGTGTTGCAAAGGAGGTCATATTCATTTGATATCAATTTCCTTTAAATCACAGGGCAAATTGTAATCACATGTACAGTAGCAGACTATTTGCATGCTTATCTTCCTATAGTGCCTATAGTGCGCAACAGAGACGTATGAAAGTGACGAGAGAACCCCAGCTTTCCATGGAGTCCAATGACATTTTAAAGGGAGGAAAATAATGTCTACTTTACTCCGGCTGTCACTTCAGGGGCACTTTCATGTCCTTCTGTTTCCATTAAAAAGGTATAAATAGCTTAAGTGCTGGACTAGACCAGAGCCAATTGTTTGCTCAGGGTAATAAAACCACAGCCCAATGATAAGGACTTTTTTTTTCAGGCAGAGTAATGAAGGGTGTATTTCATGTCCTTGTGTTACTGTAGATCTTTATAAGCTAAAAGACACACTGGCTTTTTGTTTACCCTTTTGATCATTAGAATGAATTTGAAATATATTCTGGCATAAACTTAGCTATTAATTTCTTTCCTCTCGAGTTAATCCGCTTTAAAATCGCTGTTATTATTATTATTTTTTGGGTAATAATAGCTTGTCACAGTCTACACGAAAGAAAACACCCAATATTTATGACATGCAGGAGTACGTAGGTAATTTAGAGTATAAAAGCTTAAAGCCGTATTACACCATCTGTCATTTGGACATGCCAGAGTTTAATTGCTCTTGCTTGAATTTTACACGACCGCACGCAAATACCTGTCTCTTATTAAACTTCACTGTAAATGATCTATGCGAAAGCAGCCTAACAGAAGTGGCTTGTCACACTGCACTTTCAAGGTCTCAAATGTGCCTGTTTTGCAGTGCGCAGCAAAGTGCTGCAAACTGTATTCTTTGCTGCAAATTTACAATAAATGGAGATTCATATCCATTACTGCTCCTTTTTTTTATTTAGGCCACTGCTGGATGAGGATTTAGTGGCTTTTGCGCTGATGATGGACGATCTCTCAGCTCTTTACCACTCACGCCCTCCCTATCTCCTCTGCTGTCAGCTCTGTTTAGATTTGCACATTTTACACACATCAACTTGTGCTTATTTAAGCAGACATGTGGCTTTCTGGAAAGCAAACCTTACCTGAGCGTTTCCAATAAATTCGTTGCGTTTTTTGCGAATCACAGAGCTCATCAGAACGGCCCGATGAGATCTCATCTCTCACAATGTTTAAAAAGAAGCCTTCCCCGTTTCTCAGAACTAGGGGATCCATTTAGCCATTCCGCGGCATTTACTTTCATTCTTTTTAATGGAACGAGCAGGGACGGTGAAACCTTAAGAGATAATTTTTCTTTTAATCTAATACTTTTTAAGGTGAAGCACATTTCACTCGACTATCTCTGCTGGCTAAACAATGCAAACTCTGAGACCTATAAAATGAATGCAAAATGTAAGAGGCACATAAATGCACTCTCTGTTCCACCAGAGAAAGCAGCTCCAACAGGCTAATGCTGAGAGAAAATGAATTCCATCAGCTAGCTCTTTCATTCTCCACTGCAGCTACAAGCTCTCTGTCCCGTTGCCTGGCAACCATAATTCATAGCCGCTCTAAATGGATGTTCTCCAAGCACTGAGAACATTAAGGTGAAAAGAACAAATGCCTTTGTGAATCTCAATATCTTTCAGTGTGCATGTCACTCTGTCTGTGTGTGCGTGTTTTTTTTAGCCACCCATGTGTATGTTATTCTTTAATAATCTTTTTGATGCAAGTTTAAGAGGGGCACTACGAAGGTGCATTTTCACAAAAGAGCAACAAAGGATTCGAAAATATTGTTTTTACCATTATTTCTCTTACGGCTGTCGTCATTTCGCCTTCATGCGCCCATTTCTGATAAAAGATAAATCATTTGTGCTAATATAATCAAACGAAGGCCAAGATTTAAAAAAGCAAAATAAGCAGGGTTTATCACACACAAAAATAACGCTCAATATTTAGGTTTGGCCCCAAACATGGAGTTTATGGAAAACAATAGGTGAGAGATGAAGGGGAGAAGTTTCAGTATGACTCAAGCATCAGATTAGCAGCACATCTCGCATTCATCTTCAACCACAGTTAGTCACAGCTCACCAGCACTTCATGTGTGTCATAATTACATTGAGGTTTCTTGCACTTAACCAAAATTTAAGGTTTGGGTTTCATTTCTCCAGAAGTAGCAGCGATTTGTAGATACTTGTGATCAATATTAACATTTTATAAAGATAAGAGAGGGATAAAGTAATAAGTTAAAGTAATAAGTAAAAAGTTAGCAAACCAAATAAAACATTTTGATGTTGTATATATACACATACATCACACACAACATTTTGTAACTATATATACTGTATAATATGTGTGTGTATATATGTAATATAATATAATATTTTACATATTATAATAATTCAATATTATATTGTAACATTTATTTTAATTTATTTCTTAACCATATTATTCTGATTTTTTTATTTTTTTAAGATTCAATTGTAACATTTATTTTTAGTTTGCCTTAACCTTATTCTTCTGATTCAAAAGTTTTTAAAATGTATCTACATTTTCTGAATGTATTATACAACTATCTAGCACAGCTACATGGCAAGCAGAATGCATTAGGAGGAGTGCCTTGATGCTAAATTATATTTAATTAACTTAATCCAATGGGGAATTTGGCATTGTTTCACTGTGTGTTAAATCACATTAGCTCTCATTTGCTGGGTGCTATCTCAATCATTCTATATGCCGCTCCAACCTCTTATAATATCTGTTGAGGTGTTTCATTTGTGTCAATTAAATCATTGTTTGGGCATTGAAACGACTTTGGTGTTGCGTAATGCATTAGTGACATCTCAAAGGAGAGCATGTACATATTACAATTAAGTTTCCTCAACACAGAAAGAAACTGTGTTTTGGGAAATTTTTCATACTAGGTTATATGGAAGCACATTTCCACCTCAGGGTAAAAATAAAAATAACATAAGTTAACTGTAATTTTTTTTCTCTCACTTGTGACTCTCACAAATTGCAACTTTGTTTCTTGTAATTTTATCTTTATAAATTACAACGTGATTTATCTCAAAATCTCAAAATGTGACTTCATATCTCTCAACTGCATCTATATATTTCATAAATGCTGCTTTATATCTCACAGTGTCACTTTATAACTCATAATGTGACTATATGTCTCAGTGTGATTTTAACTCACGCAATTGTAACTTTATTTCTCATAATTGTGACTTTATATCTCACAATGCGACTACTACTTATTTGAAACTTTATCCCATAATTAGTTGGATTATCAGCCTCAGATCTTAAGTCAGAGAGCGCCAGTACTCACCACTGAGAGGGAGTTGGTGAGCAGGCCACCATCTTGACCCAACATGTTGGGGACCGACATGCCCGGCAGGTCCATTCCTTGCAGGTGAAAGTGGTGCAGTCCATTCTGGGAGACAGGAGGGCACAGGTGATGGTACGTTCCGGACTCAGACTCGGGCAAGTGTGCCAGCATGTGTTCGGGGAGGGTGGGGGGTGTGATGGGCGGGATGTTATAGTCTTCGTCCCCAAGACTGGGCACTGGGTAGGACTGCTGGGATGATCAGAGTCACAGTAGACAGAGGTTACGTGACCCTTCAGAACACTGATTGGCTGATTACATAAGGTGGCTGCATGACAAAACCATCTTTTTCAAAAGATGATTCATTTATGACTGACTAGTCATTAGTGATGATGAATACGGTGCATTTTTCTCATCTATTATCATTAATTCAGAGGTAAATACAATAGAATCTAATAAAATGATATCACATTGAAAATCTCACAACAACAACAACAAAAAGCACATTTCAACTTTTCAATGGGAAAGCGAGTGAATGCAATGAGCATTCTTGTCAGAGACTCTCCAAAGGCAAAGGCTTTCCAAACATTTAGATTGAAATACTGCACAATGGGGGGTGAACCGTAGGCTAGAACAAGGACAGACTGTCCATTTGATACTTATAAATAAGAGAATGAAATGGGTTACAGCACGAACAGAAAAATCTTGTTGAAAACCAACATTCTTTGATGTTCTATAGTCTGCCACTGAAGCGATCCAGCAACAGCAATGATTCATGCTGTATCACTAACAGAAAAAAGACTAATCACAACTATATACGCAGCAAATGAAATGCTGAATAAAGTACATCAAAGTGCGCTGCACATTACAGTGATTCATTCCTGCTATTCGAGCCTTTGAGGAAGTAAAATTATATGCAAATGGTCAATCAGTCTCATTAGACTATAACAAAAGGCTGCTTTTATGAGGCTGAACAGTCACTTGCGCTTGGCTGTGAAGTTTGCTTTGGCTGCCTCCTCCAGCCCCTGTCAGTGTAGACTGTGATGAAAAAGATGTAAAGCAGATAAGGAGATGAAAGGCTGTACAAATCCAAGCAAAATCATAAATTATTCTGTAAACACTCTCTCTTGGAGTAAAATACTGTAGAAAAATATATACAGCTATCAGAAGGCAGAGAGTTTGTTATCTGTACCGTGCCGAACGCATCACGAAATGCTAACCACAAATATGCCTCAGCCTCTGATTCGACTCGAACGATCCCTCTCTTTTTTTACCTTCTAAGGGGCTCCTCTTTTCTGCTGCTTTATTATCTCTAATACATAGCTTTTATTTGCAGCAAACTAAATGAACCTGTCAGACAGCCAACTACAGGCAATTAGGTATGAAATTGGTTCCAAATTCAAACTCAACTCAAATAACAGTCCAACTGTTACTTTTAAGGATTGCAATAATCGTTTTAATGAGCTTCCTACTTCTGCCTCTAAAAGCCAATGTATCATGCTCATTTGCATATTTGATTGTGTTGTGCCTCACAGATGTCTGCGTTTGTTTGCAGGAAATATGCTGCCATAATTCATACAGTAAGGCCCTTAGAGGAATGATTTTACTGCCAAATAAAATAAAATTAAATAAATAAATAAAACAAGACGACTGTTTGCAGTGGCTTACATTGCTGTTGATACATGCGAGTAATGTACTTATTCATGTAATTATTGTCGAAAGAAGAGGAAGAAAAGGAAATTATTATATTCAGGTGAAAATTAGACAAATAAATAAGAGCAGGAACGGATGGCCGTTTTGAGGTGCAATTATGTTTGTGTTCTATCGGTTATATACGTGATGTTTCTTAGTCTCCTGTCTTTCTTTTTTTACACTTTCCTTTTTTGTGACACTGAGATGCGTAAACAGGCAGCCAAGAAAGAGAACACAGGAAATAAATAACCCTGTGCTGTGGTGTGTGGCTCTGAAAAAAAAAAAGTGAAATGCACAAAAATTAACAGCATTGCAAACATTTCCTACATCTGTGTGAAAAAGATGACTTTAGATGAGGCCGTGGATGCAAACCTATCAAAACATGGTGTCATCTGACGCAGATCTACTTATTTAACTAGAAACTGCAAAAATGTTCCAGCTAATCTGAATAAATAAATTTTCTAAAGGGATATGTGCTATGAGTCAGTTCATTTTTCCAATTCCAGCCTCTAAAATTACACATATAAAAAAAAAAGAAAAAAGAAATGTTTAAACATGTTTCATTTTTCTATCTGGAGTCATGTCGTTGGTAATTGAAATATTTTTGTATCATCTTATGAAACTGAATAAAACCTCCAGGGTCAGAAAGTTCTGATCTGAATCACATAATATGAATTGAAGTAAATTAACTTTTTATATAGAATAAGGGCTGTGGGAAATTACCCACACAATATCTGTACATTCAGTTAAATGTTTACTATTCATAATCCAGTTACATTCAGATCGCTATGTATCATTTTAACATAATTTAGTTGTGCGGTTTTCCTCTAAAAGACTTGCTTTTCATTTAGCAATAAACGAAACATTGAAGAAAAACTACAATTTCTGTGTAAATCAGGACTTTGGATGACACATAGTTTCCCAACAACCCTCGTTCTCATTGCATGCAAACCAGGGCCGTTTCTAGACATTTGGAGGCCCTAGGCAAAATTCATGTTGGAGGCCCCCCACCCCCAATAAAAAGCACTTGAAACAAATATGATTCCTAGCCTTTTTATTTATACAACATTTCATTTTAAATTGTGTATATTTTTACTTATACAGCACCGGTCAAAAGTTTGGACACATTACTATTTTTAATGTTTTTGTAAGAAGTCTCTTATGCTCGTCAAGCCTGCATTTATTTGTTTTTCTATTTGACTACACTTTAATGCAAAGCTGAATTTTAATCAGGCATTACTCCAGTCTTATGAGTCATATGATCCTTCAGAAATTATTCTAATATGCTGATTTATTATCAATATTAGAAACTTTGCTGCCTGTCTTGACTGGTGGACTAGCGTTTAGAGGATGTTATGGTTATGGAGGACCCGCCTCAAAGCCCGAGGCCCTAGGCAATTGCCTGCTCTGCCTATAGGTAGCGCCGACCCTGAATGCAAAGTAGGGGAAGGAAAAAAAACGACAAGTTTTGAGATCCACAACGTGCGAAGTCCTTGCTTATTTCGTGTGACATAATTTCGACTGGACAACAAATCTCTCAGGGAGGTGATTGCCTGTCAAATAGCACAAGGGTAATGGGACTTGTGGGAGATGAATGGCAAATGAGCAGGAGAGTCATTTAAATCTACTATCAATTACTGATGATGGTCATGATGGCTGTATGGAATCATTGTCTATGGGCGACTTCACAGTCAGCAGTCAATCAAAGCTTCACAGCGGAGGGGGAGAGAGGAATAAACTGGAGGAATAGTCATGTATCTGATGTGGTTTACACCGACAATAAGGAAAAAATGAGAGCGAGAGAGTGTGGAAAGATATGAGGAGAGCTCTTGTGTTTTTAACATAGTGTATTGAGTGAGTGGCAGAAATGCTTCACCAGCAGAAATTACGCATTTAATTACTGCAGCCTCACAATGGAGATTGTTAGCCTTCCATCTTGACAGGCGTAAATCAGCTCGTCATTATGAAAGAAGTGCACACGTACTGAGATACGAGGGGGATGAGAAAACATGCATTTTGAGATAAGAGATACGCCCCATCATTATGCCACAAAATGCATTAAAACTAATTTGAGAGATGCATTCTGATCGAAATGCAATTTAGACGGATGAGTGAGACTCAGGCTAGTTGTCACATGGGGAAGCTGTATCTCAGTAACTATAAGGTTTTAAATCAAATGTGTTTTTATCTCTAGCTGTGGTTTTGTGTGTTGGTTTCAAACACCTAGTCGAAATCTCTCCAATATTCGATAATAATTTTTTTATAACGGTAGTAATAAAATACATTTATAAACAAGATAAATGATAAAGAAAATCAAATATTTCTACATATAGAAAAATAAATGTCTTTTTATAATAATCCATTTTTAATTATTACTATTATTAATAATACATTTGTTGTGAATTTTATATTCTAAAATGGCATTCTGGCAAGTCACATGCATTTTAAATAAATGCAATTTTTTTTACAATTATATTACAATTACAACTGCTGATTCACTGCATTGTTTTGTGTTTCATATTTTGCTGAAAGCCTATAATTGACGGTGAAATGGCATTTTCATTGTGACAATTTACCCTTATAGAGTGTGACAATATTCAGTATTGGGGCAAAAATGTCAATGAGCGTTAAACAAGCTGTGTCTTTTTTCTTAGTCATTAGCAGTGCAACTCTTCAAAAGGTTTTTTTTTCTAGGCAACACTTTAAGGTATTTGCCTTTGCAGAAATTGACTTTCAGAAATAAACCTACTCTATTTAAATGATCACTCCAGGATTGGCTGTGGATCATTACCCAGAGCTCCATGCAGCACGAGGAGTGCTCCAACATGTTGTCATGCCCTTCCACCAATTAAATTGCCAGAGAACAGCAAAAGGAAGCGTAAACAATGGTAACCTGTGCCTGCAGATGAGGCGACTTTTTCATAACATAATTTTGAATAATGAAGATGTCAGGTTAAATGCTACAGTAGTTAAACTTAATAAGGTGCCCTTTTTTTCAAAAGGCTTTTCATTTGCCATCTAGGCTGGGATTGTGTGAGAGAGGCAACAAATGCAATGCAGCCTGTAATGAATACCTCTGGGATCCAGGGGCAGTGATCATTTGAATGCAACATTCTTTGGCTGGGCCCCCAAAACAACCTCAGACCCGCTGAGCTGCTGATTACTGTTGAGAGCTTCTGGATAAATGCAGAAGGGCTTGTCTGTCTTGTGCTAGCATCAAGGTCAAGCATTCTGGAGGAGGTTTTTATTTTGTCTAATGGAGGGGACATGAGGGCGTGTGAAGCCTCATCTGACCCGAACCGCAGCATCACACCCGGCGCGTCTTATAAACCGAACGGGATCAAAGCATACTGGTGCGGTCCATGAACGACCACTCCCTGTCCGGCATGCTGCTTCCATGCCTTTGAGCAGCTTAAGGCTCATGCATGCATGAATATGCAATTCATGATTATCTGAATAATGCATATTATGAGAAAAACAATGCTAGAAATAGTATTTAAGATCTGATTCTGTTAAAGTATTCTATAAATATGTTGTGTATGAACATGGGTTTGGCTCAA